GAGAGAGAGTATGCATGAGAGATCGCGAGAGTGGGGGAGCGAAGAAGAGTTGTCGTAGGAGCTAATCATCACTGACTGTTCGAGAAGCTCATGTCTCAGTGCCACAACATCCTCATGTCTCAGTGCTTACAACACCAGTGAAAACTACCCACCGTGCAAACAGGATACAACATCACCAAAAAAAAAAAAAAAAATGGAAATGTTAGGACGGCGGTCCCACTTTGTTCAGCCTGCGGCACACTACCGCCACAAGACGGCAAGGAGCTCATGTACAAGCCGCAGTTGGTGAGATGAGAGTCGGCACTAACAAGGAGACTGTAAGAACCTGCGAATCACCACTGATTGGCCTGCTTAGGACAATCCAACCACTAATTCAACTGCTTAGGACAGCCAAACCCCCTCATCGGGATTGACTTTATTGGTTTACTCCTGTTATATTTTGAGGCAATCACTAAACGCCAGTTGACTACTCTTTGCAGCGTAGTTCGCCAGTATCTTCCTCTAGGATCTAGTTGCATCCTATGCTAGGCTTGCACAAGCACATGTTGTTAGTGACAGGCCCACCTGGTTAGGATAACATGCCTAAATCCAAAGGTAAACACAACAGGTGCCGCCTGCTGACTCCTGCGCTTGCAAAGCATGAGCCTGATCACAGGTATGACCAGGAGGCTGTTTTCTAAAGCACAAACGTGTAGCACCGCTGGAGCCTACCGTCTTCCTTGGAAAAGATTGCCGCATCTGGGCCGAAAGTTGCCCCAAATACAAGCTATATAATGATTGTGTGTTCTCTATTAAGGTGAAAACGGTAGATGCTGAGGACGCGCAAGGAAATATGCGTCGTACACTAGGGACACACAAGGAAGGGTCAGGCCCGTGTGATCAGATACAACACACAAGTATGCACAACACCACAAAGAACATGCAATCTCTTTGGCTCAACTTGTGACTTACGTCGCTCCCCTGGAGATGAAGATTGATCAGACTGTTGCACGGATTGATGATGTGGCCGCGGGATTACAGACAATCACGAACCTGGTCAAAGGAAAACAACAAGTGACGGAGAAAGTTGAAATAGGAAAGGAAGAGAAGTCGAAGAAATTGTTGGGAGACACAACGAAGTCTCTCCAAATAGAGACATAGATACCAGAAGAGAAAAAGGGGGAGCCTTCGAGTCCGCCGAAATCTCCCGGAGGAAGAGAAGCCGAAGAAGTTGTTGGGAGACGTAACGAAATATCTCCAGGTAGAGACACAGAAACCAAAAGAGAAAAAGGGGGAGCCTTCGAGTCCGTCGAAGTCTCCCGGAGAAAGCAAAGTCACCACCTCACAACCTGACAAACCCAAGAAGAAGGAGAAAGTAAAAATGAATTTGCCTTTCACGTACAGCAACAAGAAAGACGAAATTTTATTGTTGTGGGTTGCCGAGATACAAACGTACTGCGGGACGACCCCTGTTTACCCCGAATCCCAAGTTGCTTTTTCTACCTCTTGTCTCGGGGAGGAAGCGAAGGAATGGGTTTTGGTCGAAGCCAATGCAGCGGGATTCGATAACATTGGGGAATGGGTTGGGATATTGACTCTGAAACAGTTCCTTGGTAAGATCAAGGAACGCGTCCTAGACAAGACAACGACCGATAAGACCTTTGACCGGCTCACCACAATTGGTTAGAAACATTGGACCTCTGTGGAATCCTTGTCTAGGGAAGTTGACCGGTTGCTGCATGTTCCTGGATTGAACCTGCAAGACAACCAAGTCTTGTACATCTACTCCCTCGCTCTGCCCGAGCCCATTCGCGGACAACTCATGTTAGAGTCGAAATCCAACAAGTATAATTATAGGCAGTTTCGTGATTTGGCTCTCCAACGAGAGCAAATGACTTCTCAGGTAAAGAATTTGTATGCATCAGTTGTTAAGTTTGGTGGTGGTGCAGGTGCAGGTAAGCGGATACTTTGGCGCCAAAAGCGCCAGGACCACACCCTCGTCGTCTTTGATAACGATACTATGGAGAAGTGGCCATTGGAGGTTGAGGGTGTGGCGAGCAGCAGTGAGTCAAGGAAAGGGGAAGTCACTGCTGCAGTGGTTAGCAAGGGAGGACCACGACCACCGGTGAAGAAGAAGAAACCACGCTCGTTTCTTGAGCATTCCAGAATTGCGGTCAGGAAGTCATGGGAAAAAATGGGACTATCACAAGAAACTTGGCAGGAACGAATGGATAATGCACAGTGCTTGAAGTGTGGTACTGCAGGGCATGTGATTGCATGGTGCCCGTTAATCCGTGACCCAAAAATGAGCCGCCTGTAGGAGTAGCATCTGCTCCTACTGAGTCTTAAGGGTTTGGATAAAGATGAAGGTAAGGCGCCTATGACCCCTTCCAACCCTTTGACTCGCATGGCAAAGGATGGTTTTTCTTCGGCCCATCGTCCGGAACACCCTGAACCTATCTTATGCATTGTCTCTCTGGACGACTCTCCTGACGAGCTTGGTAACGAGTTGCTAGCATTACGAAGCTCGTGGGCTAAGAAATCGAAATCTAAGGGTGATCTACAACTCGCGGATGTAGAAATTGCACGTACAACTTTTGCCGTATCTTCCTCCTCCTCCTCCTCCTCCTCCTCCTCCTTGTACTCATCCTACTCTAACGTTGACGTGCCAAGTGGCACGTCTTTTTCTTTTTCTTTTTTTTGTCCAGGTAGTTCTCCTCCTCCTCCTCCTTGTCATCCTGCTCTTCTTCTTCCTTCTCCTCCTCTTCTTCTTCTCCCCTTTCCTCCTCCACAGCTTCTGCCATATCTTCCTCCTCCTTTCTCCTGTCTCCTTCTCCTCCTCTTCTTCTTCGTCCTCCTCTTCTTGTTCCTTCTCCTCCTCCTGGACTTAGGATCAACGCGATCCTATATATCCTAGAAAGCAATACGCAAGTTGCATCTCAGAATGAAGGTGAAAGAACTGT